ACAGAAGGAATACAGTTCATCTGAAAAACAAAGCTTTTCCAACTAAACTCTAAAAAAGTCTGGCAATAAGAAAGTATTACCCAGAGAAACTGTATAGAATACATGCATGAGTCATACTCTAAGAAGAAACTTTACCAAGGCAACATGTTTTAGCTGCTTAGATTCCCAATGCCTATGAACAGTGTCTCTAAGATACAATGTAGACAATGATCCCAGTTCTTTCTAGATAATAATGAGAAAGGCTGCACACAACAGCCCAAAGCGTTGGGAAGTTCAGAGCTTTCCACTTTGGCTAGAGGTTAATGGGAGGCAGTGCTCCCTGTGTCCCTCTGCTTTCCTCTGGTGCTCTTTAGTTCATGACAGCTTGACAAAAGCTAGTTGGGAAGAGGGTCTCTCAACTGAGAAAATGCCTCTCTAATACTGGCCTACGGGCAAGTCTAGGGGGCTTTTTATTGATGAATGCCTGATGTGGGAAGGCCCAGCTCACTGTGGGTGGTGTCAAACCTAGGCAGGTGGTCCTGAACTGTGTACTAAAGCAGGAGGAGCAAACCACGAGCAAACAAGTAAGAAGTGTGTCTCCATGGCTTTTGCTTCAGTTCCTACCTTCAAGTTCCTGTCCTGACTTCTCCCTCAGTGACAGAGTGTTGTAAGATGCGATAAACCCTTTCTTTCCTCCCTAAGTTGCTTTTGGTCATGGAGTTTTATCACAGCAGTACTAACCCTACCTAAGACACCTTGCATTTCATTTTTAATGTCCACCTAATCTACACACTGAGCAATCTAGTTAAACACATGCAAAAAGAATGTGCACAGATCTTATAATTTACAATAAGCCAAGAAGTGTTTAAGGAACTCCTTTTCAAGCTATAATATCCTTGAGAAAATTTCCTATCATGAAAAGCACTGTATTGGTGAGTTAAGAGGTGTTGTGGAATAATCGTTTTGTACACTGTGAAGAAATGTCACTTGATTGGTTTAATAAAAAGCTAAATGGCCAATAGCTAGGCAGGATTTTCAGGGCAGAGACAGTGCTGGGAGAAAGGTAGAATCACCAGCAGAGGCAGAGGAAACAGACATGTAAGAAGAGGTAAAAGCCAGAGTCATGTGGCAGTACGTAGATGAATAGAAACGGGCTAATTTAAGTTATAAGAGCTAGTTAGAAACAAGCCTAAGCTATAAGCCAAGCTTTCATAATTAATAAGAAGTTTCTATGTTGCTTATTTGGGAGCTGGCTAGTGGGACAGAGAAAGACTAGCAACAAAGGGCAGGAAGCAAAGGGTCAGTTTCAGATTCACAAAGAAGAAATAGGAAAACCTCAAGCATTGAGGAGCTATGTTTGAGAAAAAAAAGAGTGAAAAAACCCAGACATCGGGCTGGAGAGATGGCTCAGAGGTTAAGAGCACTGGCTGTTCTTCCAGAGGTCCTGAGTTCAATTCCCAGCAACCACATGGTGGCTCACAGCCATCTGTAATGAGATCTGGTGCCCTCTTCTGGCCTGAAGGGATATATGCAGGCAGAACACTGTATACATAATAAATAAATAAATTAAAAAAACAAACAAACAAACAAAAAAAAAACCCAGACATCAGAGATGAGTACAGGGAATAGCAACTTTGTAATTTTAGCTGTGATAGAAAATATCAGGCTCTCAGGAGGTAAATTTGTATGTGAGAGTGCATCTCAGGGGATCTTCCTCAGGAACACTGTCTACCATTGGTTTACTTTTCAAAAACAAGAACCACTGTGTGTGTTGCTTATGTATGTGCCCATATGACTGAATGCACACTTACTTGAGGGTGTGGGCACCAGTGTGCATGCACATGAAGGCCAGAGGAGAGCGGCAGGGGTGGTCCTCTATCATTCTCCACTCTTAGTCCTTTTGCAGCAAAGGCTCACCTCTGAACTTGATGCTCATGATTTCTCAGGTAGACTAGCAGCAAGTCTTAGTGATCCTCCTGTTTCCTCCTTTTGGAACTGGGCCTGCAGATGTCTGTGGGAACACCTGGCTTGTTACATGGGAGCTGGGCTCTTAACTCCAGTCCTCATGATAACAGAGCAAATGATCTTAACTGCTGAGCTGTTTCTCCAGCCCTCCTCTCCTGTTTTTGTAAGTAGTTTAAACATTGATTATTTATTTGTGTGTGTGTACATGCCATAACATGTGTTTAGAGGTCAGGAGCTGATGTTCTCATTCTACCATATGGGCTCTGGGGATCACACTCAGGCTATCAGGCTTGGCAACAAGTACCTTCATAGCTCAGCCCTCTTGCCTGTCTCCACCCTGTATTTTGAGGCTGGATCTCTCATTAGCCTGGGATTTACCCAGTAGGCTATAAAGGCTGGCCAGGAAACTCCAAGAATCTACCTGTCTGCCATATCAGTATTGGGATTACAAGGGCACACTACTATACCTAGCATTATTATTATTTTTTTAAAATTACATTTGTTTTGTGGGGGAGGGTGAGGATGCATGTGTGTGCCACAGTGCATGTGTGGAAGTCAGAGGACCTGCATGAGCTGGTTTTCTTTTTATCACGTCAGTCCCAGGGACAGAACTCAGATTGTCAGGCTCACTGTCAAGTGTTTTTATCTGTTGTGCCATTTTCCCAGCCTATCTGCTTTAAAAGGCAAAACAAAACAAAAAGCACGGGTCTGGGGTTACCTCAGATCCCTGTGCTCACATGACAAGCATTTTAACAACTGACCTATCTCCCCAGCTCCAACAATGTATGTCTTAAGAAGCGAGAAGAACAATATGAATTAAGGACAAACTCAGATGCTCTATGGCATCGATCGAAGAACCCAAGGCCAGTGACACTATTCAATGTTACACACTTTCTGTCTTCTCTCTCTCTCTCTCTCTCTCTCTCTCTCTCTCTCTTTTTTTTTTTTTTTTTTTTTGTTTTTTGAGACAAGGTTTTTCTGTGTAGTTTTGGTACTTGTCCTGGAACTAGCTCTGTAAACCAAGCTGGCCTTGAACTCACAGAGATCCGCCTGACTCTGCCTCCTGAGTGCTGGAATTAAAGGTGTGCACTACCACCTCCTGGTTCACACTTTATTTTTATTGTTTACCTCCCCTCTTCTTCCTGAACACTTTCCAAAACTGGTTTTCAGACTCTACTGTGGGGAGGAACTTGCTGAGCACATTTCTGACTCAGGATGAAGTTCAAGGTTGATCACCAGGTCTGGAAACCCATCTTGAAACATTGTTTCCTTTTTAAATTTCTGTGTCTTGGGCCTACCAGGAACTTAGTTCCACCGAGAAGGAAATGCAACCAATTGCAATGAAACAAAACAAATGTACAAAAAGGCACCGATGTTACTGTTCCACCGTCCTTGCAGATAACTAAACTGCCTGTGTTGGATAGTTTTATTTCAACATGACACAAGCTAAAGTCATTTGACAGAAGGGAACCTCAATTAAGAAAATGCTTCCATAAGACAGGGCTGTAGAGAAGCCTATAGGACGTTTTCTTGATTATAGTGATTGATGGAAGAAGGGCATCCTGGGCAGGAGGTCCTGGGTTCTATAAGAAAGCAGGCTGAACAAGCCGCGAGGAGCAAGTCAGTAAGCAGCATCCCTCCATGGCTTCTGCATCAGCTCCTGCCTCCAGGTTCCTGCCCTGTTTGAGTTCCTGTCCTGTGGAAGTATAAGCCAAATAAACTCTTTCCCCCTCAGCTTACTTTTGATCATGGTATTTCATCACAGTGATAGAAACGCTAACTAGGACACTGCCCAAACACATACCCCATCAGCGCTTAAGAAAAGTTATCTTCCCAGTTAGTTCAGAAACTTCCCCTTGACAATGACTCACTGAAGAACACTTGATGGAAAGTCCTGCTTCTCTTTGGCTGTAAGTCATGGATTAGTAGAAAAGAATGCTGACCAAGCAACTGAGCCAAAAAAAAAAATAAGCTCTACCTCTTGTATGCTAACTCTGACTAACTGATAATGGCTGCCTAGAGATAGAAGGCTGTTTTCAGGCTAAAAAAGTAGTTTCACACTTCTTTAGTTCAGTCTCATACAATGTAAGAAGAGGTACTACCCACATACCAGAAACTGAGATCAAGAGGATAAAAAAAGGAGACAGTGATGTGGAATCCCATTAGGTAAATGAAATAAAGAAAATATAGCTAAAAAAGAAAGGAGGCAGTATGACACTCTTGTGGGCCGCAAGAATCTATCATAGACTCAGCTGCGTATTAAAGCTGAACTTTGACCAGCCAGGGGTCTGTCAAAAGGCAAAGCCATTTATTATGAATATTTGGTGTTACCCAGCCTTTAATATTCGTGCTGTCTTCTGCTATGAAATCCTCAAGTGCCCAGACCAATTGGTAAACAATTCAGCTCCCCAGACCTGCTGAACCTAAGTTACTAACTGCCCTGCTGAGCTTAGGAGACAAGCTGGCAGGAGACACATAGCTTTGTTTCTTGTGCTAATGAAGCTCAGACCATGCCCTCACCTTGAGGAGGCCTATTGGTTCTCCAAAGCATTTTGACTGATAACAAGAGGTTTTTATATATCAAGGTGAGAGATGAAACAACATTCCTGAGAAGGCAGAGAATCATGCGCCCAGTGAAAGAAAGGGCAGGCATTTTCTGTAGCGAAGGACAGAACAGCATGGCGAAGAGAGAAGAGAGGACAATAGAGGTTCCATAGAGGCTAAGCAGATCTTGGGTAGAGCTTTCTGAGTGCCGGGAGTAGAGAGTAGCAGAGATAGAGAAAGAGGATACAGAAGAACGAAGATGAGTCTGAAAGCATAGGAGTTAGTCGTTAGTAGGACTATGAGCTGGGGAACTGGACCAAACTGTAGTTATGGAGAGAGGATTTCATCCCAGAGAAATAAAGTAGATGGATATAGAGCTTGATATGTCTAGAGTTATTCCTGCCTTGAATGCCTGGTGGAGCTACAGCTGATTTGACAGAATTTTGTCTTAGAGGAATAAAATTAACAGACATAAGAACATAGTGTACGTAGATTTTTTTTTTTTCCCTCAGATCCCACGCCGGACTTAGCTGAGCCCGTGGACCCTGGGAACTCCATAACTTCATTGACATGACTCATGTATTTGGCAGGATGTATACAAGCAGCCATGAGAAAAGGAAACCTTAAAACAAGAGACTGCACAAAAGGGCAGCAAAGACAAGATGGGCCACTGTAACCAGTCAGAGGCAGTAGGTGCGCAAGGACAGGGAGAATGTTGGGAAGCATTCACTGGGGTTGCCAAATGGAATGTGACTCACCTCAACAGGAAGTGAATGGAACTGTGTCACCAGGTCATCCGCAGCAGTCGCTATACCAATAAGAGCTACGACCTTTTCAGGCCGTGCAACGGCAGCATGCAGCATGAGCCATCCTCCAAAGCTGGATCCGACCAGTATCTACAGACAAACACGTATGGCTTTAAAGAGGATTCTCATACTTGTCTATAAAGAGAATGCTTTAAAAGAAATGTATGGACTTGCATTTTTTATAACCACGCAGATCCCAGACTTCTAGACTTTTAACATGTAACACAAAGTCAAATTCAATTATAAATTGTTTTTTTCTCCTCTGTTCTGGCTGTGCTGGAACTTTCTTTGTAACCTAGGCTGGCCTCAAACTCAGAGATCTACCTGCCTCTGCCTCCCAATAAAACTTTTGCAAAGCCATTATGTCTTTAATATAGAGCTATGAAAACAAATTTTGTTCAATGAGAAGTGCTTACTGTTTATTAGAAAGTAAAAGTAGAACAATTTAAAACAAAATTGTTCATCAAAATCAAAATTGACAAATATCATCAATTGACATACCTAAAGAAATAAATCAAATATTGCTTGAGTCAAAAATCATTCTACTTAACAAAAAACAGTTACCTGTGGTCCTTCCGCTACATCATCAAGTATCGAAAGTACATCCTTTCTCCATTTCCCCACTGTGCATTCTGCTAAGTTACCATCTGAATTTCCAATTCCTGAGTAGTCAAACCTGGAAGAAGGGAAATACATATTTTTACCTAAATGTTTGTATGTGGAAATATGTCCATGCTTGCTTCTTTTATTTTCAAAGCAAAGCAGGACATTCTTCATTACTACAATGCCTAACCTATAGTAAAACATCACTGAACATGTATTTTAGTAAATCCTACTGGCTTAGCTTCCAAGTACCTCTCATGTCAGTAACTTTCTTACATGTTCCACTGCTACCCTTGGTCCAAGTTACCATCTCAACTACACCAATGCAGGAGTCTTTTAAGTCTCTTGTTATTTCTATATTTCATCCTCACTGCCTATTCCCAGAGTAGTCAGAATGATCCTTTCAAACGAAATACCATATCATAATGCTTTGTATACTTAATAAGACTCAAAGCCCTTACCATACTTCCCTACCACTCTGACCTCATTTATGAAGTTAAAGGTATGCACCACCCTTATTCCTGCATCGTGAACTTTCACTTCTACTTGGCATACTTCTATCTCCAGATATCCATTAGCTACACCTCACCTCCCTCAGTCCTTTAGCTCAAACACTGGATCTCGTCAAGAGCTGGCTGACCGTTCACATGCTAAGACTGTGCTTCTTTCGCAGCTCTGCACTATGACTGTTTTATTTTCTTCATAGCACTTACGGCTACTAAGGACTAGAGTCAGCTTCATCCTGAACTCCTCTTTCTAAATTTTCCGAGGGATCCAAGCTCAAAGTCTGTCTAATCTCTGAATTTTACCTTTCTTTCGAGGTTTCAATTCAATAAATTATGAAGTATGCTATCATATCCACAAATTATCAAAATCCCCAGTCATTCTGAACTACTCCCAATTCCTGGCCAACCCCCTTTATAACTATGAGCTTTTGCATGCTATCCCACCGTGTAGAAAACTCCTCGTCGAACTTCTAGTCATTCTTTAATCATATCACTTTATTTGGTGAACTCTCTCATTCAGCCCCTGTGCTGGAAAGGCAGAGACAGGTGGATCCCAGGGGCTCTCTGGTCAGCTAGTCTATCCTACTTGACAAGCTTCAAACCAATGAGAGAAACCTTGTTTCTCAAAAGGTGGATGACTCCTGAAAACTCACAACCAAGGTTGTCTCCTGGCTTCCACATGCATGCACCCATGCATGCACGGTCACGCTCACACATGATCATGTACACATACACTGAATTGGGAAGGCTGCTACACTCACCACTATTACAATGCTACACAAAAAGGACTTGATTAAAGAACCTGTAGTGAAAGGGCTATTGTTTATAAATGTATATTTATATAGTACCCAATATGCAGAAAACTACATTATGCCTGGAACTCGCTATAGCTCAGTCTCGAATGAAATTCAAGAACTAGTAAAATGGTGATTTCTATTTTTATGTGTTTTGCTGCATGTGTGAATGTGTTCCCATGTGAAGGGGTTCATGTATTTACGTGGTACACAGGTACATGTACACATGTTTTAGGGGACAGAGGCTGACATCCAATCTCTTCCTTGACCACTCTCCTCCACTTTATACACTGAGGCAGGGTCTCCCACTGACCCTGAGGTTCACTGTTGCAGCTAGTCTGGCTAACCAGCTTGCTTAGGCGACTCCCTTTCTCTGCCTCCTGAGTGCTGGGATTACTGGTGGGCTGCTACATCCACCCCACTTTTACATGGGCTGGACTCAGTGATCCCAGCTCTGATCCTCACAAACACAGAAAGAGTGTTACTCACTGAGACATCTCCCCAGTCCTAAAATGCTGACTTCTTTATTAGATCATTTTTCAGACAAAAAAGCAATGGACTACCTTTATTTCTGATCTTTATTTCTGACTAGCCTTATTTCTGACTAGCAATATTTCTGATCTTTATGTATTATCTCCTCAGTGGTCTCTTTCCATAGATAGAACTGCCCTTCTACTAACATCTTTATTTTTTCCAGAGTTCCTTTGTAAAGTCTTGTCCATCCTTTTCCCTTCTCAGTGTCTCTCATCTTATGTAATTTCTCCTCTTGTGAATCACATTCTGATGAGTACTTCTGCCTAATAATGCCTGTATGTATTTTCACCCCTCACTTAAGGGCAAGTATAATGTTTTATAATTCTTATTATTCAGCTCTAGTCTTCAAAGCAAGTTAAGTCAAGAGATTTTAAATAGTTCTGAGAATGAAAATAAATAGCTTTGCTAACTGACAAAAGGAATCAGACTAAATCCACCTTAATGACATAATTTCTGCAAATATACCACACAGATAATGCCTAAAAGTTTTGTATGTAGCTCTATTTTCTAGAACTATTGAATGAGTATTAGTGAAACTATTCTCAACATTTAGATGAGTAGATTTTTCAGGTTGTTAGAGCTAGAAAAGAACTCAGAAATTATCTTTAGTCCAGCCTTCTTTTATTGGATGACAAACTTGTGTCTACTGTGTATTACTGACTTGTATCAGTTACTGAAAGAATTCTGTCTTCAATCCTTATTTCTTCAATTTTACACCAATATTTTTCCCACTAAACTATATTCCCTTCTTATAATTAAAATACCAAAAAATTTGATAAACCTAACAATTTCTGCTACATGAATACATTTCTATTGAAATATCTGAGTGAAAAGGAACAAATATAAAATTAAGTTTTAACTAAATACTACCTATCCTTGTTTACGCTCACACACATTCATATATAAGGAGAAAGAAAACAGAAACGTAAATTATACAGTATCAGTCTTACAATATTATATTACTTTAAAAAATATTGTGTGCGTGAGTTGTGCTAGGGATTGAATCCAGGATTGTGCTAAACACATGCTCTACTGATGAGCTACACTCTCAGCCCTAAATGCCTACTTTAGAAAGAAATAAACAGTGATCAAATAAGTCCTATGTCTTCAGTAGAAAACCCATAATCACAAGTGATCACAAGAAACCCACTGAGTTTATACCTTTTTGCCACACAGGCTACTGTAGCTGAAGAACTTAGTTGCTAGTTACCTTTCTGGCCAATCTAGCCAGCATGGTACAAAGACCTTAAAGACCCTAAACCATAAGATCAAAGTCCGTACATCAGTAAAATAAATTCATCTTTTAAAATGCTGGCATTTACTTCAGTTGGCTCTATTACAATGCTAAATGCTAATATATTCTCTGAAATGTATTGTTCCTACCTTATATAGCCGTGACCTAGAGATTTGCAAAACTCCTCAATTGCCAGTGCCTTTATACCATTCATATCAGAAAGATAGCCAGGGATGAAGATAATTCCTGGGCTTTTGCCTTTTAGCTTCTTATAAGCCAGACTTGGAAGGTCTGGTCGTTGAAGAAAAGAGAGTGTTACCTTTTGTCTGCAAGCTAAACAAAGCACACAAAGCATGAATTTTAGTTTGAAAATTATTTTTGGAAAATCGCATATATTTTCAAATCTTAACTTTCTTAACTCATTGCATTTGATGGGAAAATCAAAAAAGGCTTCAAGCATGAGATTTTTAGTTTCAAAGTTATATCAAAAAATTTACCTTCTTAGAGCAAGGCCCAATCATACTCTTCCAAAATACACGAGGTAGAAATTTCAGTGAAACAAAGACAGAGACGCATCAAAAAATAACTTCATGTTGGCGCCATGTGATTATCCTAAACAGTAGCAATTAACATTTAGATTTAAATACACCACTTAACCTCTCTCCTGAGATTTCTTTCTACTTTGCTTTAACAGTGTTTCAGGAATTTCATGTTTTCTACTTTTGGCCAGATGAGTGGGGAAAAGAAGGGCATGTGTGTTTTGTCTTTCCCTTTCCTCTGCCTTTAGAAAAGTTGTTTCACAGGGGAACTGGCAAAGACGCAGACACCTGCAATCCCATGATGTGGGAATCAGAGGTAAAATAATCATGAGCTGGGAAAGTATTTAGCAAGGAAGGAATGATGTCGGAAATACTGAGCTCTTTTTGACCAGGTTACCACTGAACAATCCTCCCCAGAAATATCAAGAAACAGGTAAGAAACCACCATAATTTCCTACCAACTGGATCAAGTATCATTCTTGGAAAAGTACTTCTCATACAACTCTGTAAATGTTTACTTCTGTTTGCTGGCTTTTTGTAAGTGGCACAATAGGGCTATTTAAATATAACAGGGCAAATTGTAACTCTTACAGGGCTACTCCAGTTCATTGTTTTAATTTCCCCCATTATAAAAATCAACATTAAAAAAAAAATCAAAGCCATATAAATATTTTTGTTTTGTTTTGTTTTTCCGAGGCCACCAAATAGTGGCTGTCACGCTCACTGCTACATTAAAGATACTAGTCCAGGGATTGCCAGTGGGCAGAGGTACTGACAGCACCTGGACCACCACTTTATCAATGGTGTTTCTCATATAAATATTTTTTAAAAATCACATTTTCTTCCTTCCGAAGACAGGCTTGAATACTTTTGAACAGTCATTTTCTGGACCAATAAATCTTTTATTTTACTTTTAAGGTTTTTTAATTACTTACTTAGTGTGTGTATGTACATATTATGCATATATGAGGAACTTAGGACACAGTCCTCTCCCTCCACTTTGTGGGTCTAGGGTGCCAGTCTTGTTTACCGGCTGAGCTATCCATGTTAGCCCTCATTTAAAAAAAAAAAAATCAGTCTGTGGTTGGTGAAAGTTCCTGGGTCTCTCCCATGTGTGCTGCTAAAATTTTTCCCATTTTCAGTTTGTCTA